CTGCAAGGTTGGGTTTCCACCTGTGCTGGGGTCTCCTTTGCTTCTTCCCAGCATCAGCTCAGGCTCCTCGTGCCACAGCATGGGGGAGAAATGGTGACCAGCTCCAGACCCCCATACAGAACCATCGGTGGATCTGCCCTTCCAAGTGCACATTAACTGAAGTGCACCCACCTGCACGACTTCATTTCAGCACTACACGCTAAATTAGACCAAATTATAGGCAATGTGGGGGCATGGAAACTCCCCCCAAAAACTTTTAATTGGATCATGATGGAGTTATATGGTGAGGCACCTGGCCAGAGGACCAGAGGCTCTACACACCCAAGCTAGAATTACATAGATTTTAAATAACATCATTCATCATGCCAATGAGCTCATGTAAATATAATTGATTTTTTGTAAGCTTTTCAATATATAAGGAAGATGATCACTGCATTTATGTTTCCTGCTAAATTAAAACCCTCCTCATCTTCCATGTGTAGTTTTTGGTTTTTTTTCCCTCAGGCTTTTCTAAGGCCCTTGGAGCAAAACTGGAACCTTTCTGACCTGTGGGAAAATGCTTTTGCAGAAGGGAAGCCCTCCTTCTCCTCCTTCTCCTGCCTGGGGCTGATGTTCAGAATATCAGTATATCCAGGCAGTAAAACATAGCCAAAAAACTAGATACAGCAAATACAATAAAACATGATTACAGTCAAAACAGAAGTGTTTTAGCAGTGGTGACCTGCAACATTCAGTGTTGACTTGCTCAGGAAGGAGTTTCCCAGCAGTTTGCTGCCACAATGTGCAGCCCCGTGGAGGAGGGCTTAGCTTCAGCCCAGAGCACCATAGCCATGCTGATTTATGTCCCAGCGTCTCTGAAAACACCAGAAGGGCTGGGCTGGGGAGGTGATGCTGCCTGAACACAGGCGTTTAATTTGCCTTGCGAAATTACCTAGCTACTCTCTCTTGGCTTCCTCTGCAATGCATGGAGAGAGGCAGAGACTCCACCAGAGGGTGACATCTGCCCTGAATCATCTCCTGGGACACTCTGATCCGCCTCCATATCAGGGCAAACAGAGTCAGGATGCAGCGTTCAGCTTGCAGAAGGTGAAACTGCATCTCACATCTGCAATACAGCACAGTGATGCTGAAAATATCAGCTGAAAACACGGTATTAGATTTAAGCTAACGCCTAGGCTTTTTCTTTCTTTCTTTCTTCTTTCCTGATGAAAAAAACAAAACAACAAAAATTTTTTTTTGTGAAAAACAGGAACAGGAGCAGTTCCATTGGAGGCATCATTACCAGCTCTAATTAGTAGACCTGAGTGCAAATCCCCACAACCACAGAGGTCCAAAGCCTCCGTGCTGTGTCCACAGGAGCCCCAGCAGTGCCAGCAGGACATGTTGTAGGAATGTGCTCAGTGTTGAACACCTGCATCTGTTCACAGTTGGAAATGGGGGATGAAGAAAGAATGAGATTCTGAATAAGCTCCTGAGAGAAATAAAGAACAGGGACCAGGTTCCCAGAGAGTTCCTATACCACCAAACCTCCCATGGGTTAGGAATAGGGGCATGATTTGAAGTATTGCAGGATCTGGGAATGGACAAAATTATCCTTCATCACTGGAGCCTGAGAACCTGTTCACTTGTCCTTGATCACACATGAAAGTCAATTGTAGCCAGGAGCGGGTCAGTCTCTTCTCCCAAGCAGCAAGCGACAGGAGAAGAGGAAATGGCCCCAGGTTGCACCAGGGGAAGTTTAGTTTGGAGATTAAGAAAAATTTGTTTACTGAAAGAATGGTCAGACATTGGAGCAGACTGCTTAGGGAATTGGTGAATTCACCACCTTGGAAGAGTTCAAGGAACATGTGGATGTGGCACTTGGGGACACAATTTAATGGTGTATTTGGTAGCGCTGTGTCTATGGTAGGACTCAATGATCTCAGAGGTCTCTTCCAACCTTAATGATTCTGTCTGAGTAGTCATCCTCAACTGCTGTGGTGATGAGCCTCAGATTTGCACCCCTCTGACACCACGACAGCCACTGTACCATTCAAGCTTCTTCTGCAGCCATGGGCTCTGTCTCCTCACAGATCCCTAGGAAGGCAGCCCCTTGTCCCACATCAGACACTCATCTCATTTTTGCAGAGTGTAGTATTATTTTCAAGTGCAGGCTGTCACCTCCAGTGCAAAGGTGTACCTCCTACAGATGCCTGAGGGTGAGGGGTGAACTCATTCACCCCACAAATGCGCATGTTTTCCATGAACTCAAAAAAATTGGGCCAAGTTCTTTGGGAGCTGGATTCATTCCACATAGGTCAGACCAGGCTGTGTGGTTGAGGTGCACACAGTGGTTAACCCCATCTGTTTCAACAGGGCCACACACAACGCCCACCACCGCCCAAATGTGGCTGCAGGTGCTGCGGGTCATGTCAAGCAGCACTTTGGAGGCATCAGACCCTGACACTAGTCCTACCTGCATGGAAGGATTTACTAAGCCAAGAGCTTTCCAAAGGGATGTTGGAAAGACCATCCCACCTGTACCATCATCTGGGTGAACCATGCCAATGGACACCTCAAAGGTCTTCAAGGGTGATGGGACAAGCCCCATCAGCCACCAGCCCAGCCAAGCTTCATTGGTCCCAGCTTCAGGCATCCAGCTAAGCTGTCCAGGTGAAAGCCAGGTGACATATTTATACTGAACACAGGGACCCCTGTGCCTGCAGAGAAGAAATTTTAAATGGCTACATTTAGATGGCATAAATCCAGAAATGATGTCTCCATGAGTCTATGGTATCATCCCTCTGGAGCTGCTTCACTCACATCACCAGCTCGTCGGTGTCAGGATCAAGCAGAGACCATTTCTCAGCCTTACTGTTCACTGTTTAGCTACTGGCCATTTGGTTTCACAGAATCATAGACTGATTGGGTTGGAAGGGACCTTTAAAAGCCACATAATTCAGCCTGGGACATCTTCAACCAGATCAAGTTGCTCAGAGTCCCATCCAGCATAATCTTGAAGGTTCCCAGAGCTGGGTCACTTACTACCTCTCTGGACAACCTGCACCAGGGTTTTACTCATTGTCATTTACCTTCATTTAAAAAGAAAATTCTTCCTTTTATTAATCTGATGTTCTTCTCCCATACATCCTCCCCTGCCCACCAGCATGGTCCTACCCACCTGCTGCAGCTCCTGGCATTGGTCCATAACCATCTTCTACCAGCAGGTACTGGGGATTTGGAAAAGTCACAGTGACATCTGCTCCAGATGTCCATTCTTCACCATGTTAAATTAGATTAAAACGTCAACTTATTAATAGAGATGATACTGCAGAACAAACTGAAGCCTCTGCTTCAGTTTTGCAGGCAACTTTGCTGCTGGCTTAATAGAAAATGGCTTCTACCTCCCAGGAATACTGTCACAATTTCAGTATTTTTGGAAAGGAGACGGGGTTTTTTCACCCTTACAAATGGAAGAAAATCACACATATGCTAAGGTGGGCCATGGCTGAAGGATGTGCCTCTGAGACAGAAAGAGCCACATTCACATGCCAAACCTGCTGTTAGATAGGAGTGGGTGCTGAATGTCAACATCCAAACCGCTAATCCAGACCCTAGGCTGGTCTTGGATGTTTCCTGTCCTTGTTCCAACCTGGACTTGGAAACTATTTTCCACTAAAAATGGTAAATTGCCATGAAAAGAACCCTGTATGATAAATCATCCCATTCCGACAGAATATAATTCCTTGGAGATTTTCCAAACAGCTGTAACACTAACACCACTGGAAAGTCTTTAGGCGTTTCTGCTTGGCTGGAAGCACCAGTTGTGTGGAAATCAATAGCAGATGTTACCACGTGTGAGATCCACCGAAGTCCAAGAGCCCAGGAGTCTGTGCAGCAAAGAGAAACCATCCCATGCCAAACCCACAGTACTGCAACCTCACTAATACACACACACCCTGGACACACCTCACACTCCTTACTCCCAGACAATCCCTCCTGGCCAAACAAGTTACACTGGTATTTATTATCCAATAGCTTTTCCATTTTCTGGCACTGGCTACCTGTGAGCAAGCATGGCTCAATTCCCTGCTGAACAGGAGCAGCTCTCTGACCAGAGGGAGGGACAGAGCTGCTGATGGAGTACCACACAAGGCGAGCAGCTTCAAAATGTCAGTGGTAGAAGAGGTCCTGAGATTGAGGGGCTGTCCTGCAGGGCTACTGAGTCCCTGTGCCACTATGTGTGTTAGTCCCAGGGTGGATGCAGAAGAGACAAGGGTCACCTCGAGGTGCAGAGACCCCTGTGTCAAAGCTCAGGGTGATCTGGTTAAGGCAGGGACACCTCCCACGAGGTGTTCCATGTTGATCAAAGCCCCATCCAACCTGCCAACTTGACCCTGACCATTTCCAGTGATGGAGCATCCACAGCTTCTCCAGGCAACCTGTACCAGTGCCTCACTATTTCCTGCAGACTCAGCTGCAGGGGTTCATCTGCCCAAAGAGAGGTACCTGCAAAACGGAGGTGCCAACATCTGCTTTACTCATCACAGGACCTCCATACTTTCAGTGGAATATAATTACCCCTGTTAGGGAAGGTAAGAAGTTGTGACAGAGCCAGTCCAGGGATCAGCACTGCACAAGAGGGAGTTTCTCCCAGTGAGCTGTGAAGAACTGTGCTGCTGTGCTGTGATTTCTGTATGAAAACTGGTTATCATGCTGCACTCCGGGTGCATCTCACTGCATCTCACAAAAATAAAACAGTCCCCTCTCCTGGCACACACACAGTCATATTCACTGTCTGCAACACCTCAGGTCTTACCTACTTATTCTGCAGCTTAATTAATTGAGTCTTAGAGTGCTTTGAGAGAGGAAAGGTGTTTAAAAAGCACAACAGAGCCAGTAATATCAGATGTCAAGCTGTTACAAGGAAAAACTGTGCTGCTGCTGTTTTCTTGATTAGTCAGGACACCCTAGGTTGTTATCTCATTTGCAACTGTGACAGAAAGTGATACCAGCCGCTCTTAGGAAAAGTCATTTTATTTTGTTGAAGCCATATGTTTCCAAGGATAGAATACAGCTCAGGAGCCATAAATCATGCCTAGATAAGAAGAATCTCAGACAGTGTTTTTTTGCAGGATGTTGCTTGTTCTGTGATAATTGCTCGATGTTCAAGGCAGATTTCCCACTGCCTGCTCAGACACGCAGCACAGAAGAGAAATGCCCCATGCCAGTTACTGTTCACAGCATTTGAAATCTGAGCATGTTAAGACAATTTTAATAATACTGTTGCACCTCTGCCCAAATCCTATAGAGCTGCAGCGCCTTGGATTTCAAGGACTGTCCACTTGCTGTCAGAAGTCATGGCTGCAGCAGAGACACGCTGGCCTGAGCTAGGAGGGGTAGCAGTGGTGGTGGCAAAGTGACAGTGCAGACCTCCTGAGGCGCCCCAGCTTTGCTGCTCATCAGCACACGAGCTCCCATGTCACTGTGACTGCAGAGCTGCACTGGAGGTGCTGGTGGATCTGGGATGGGGCTGCTGGGCTCAGGTGTAGGGAAGCTGCTCTGGGTACAGAGCCCCAGGAAGTGCACGGCCGGCTGCTGTGCAGTGCCATGCAGCTAACACGGGCCACAGATAAGGTCACACAGAAGGTGCAAGACAGCTGTGGGGGGCAGCTACCCCTTCTCCCCAGTGCTTGGGCTGCCATTGAAAGCTGCTTCCATCACACGTGCCTTCAGAGGCTGCTGGGGACCCTGTCACCCTACCCTAGCATTCCCTGGGGCTTGAGCTGGCTTCTTTCCTGCCTTGACAGCTGCCATGGAGCCCTTGAGGAGTACCAGGACTGAGACAGGGTCTCATGAAGGAGTGGGAAATCAGTTCCACATCTGTCTTGACACCAGACCAGGCATGTTTGAGTGGGCAGACATGCAAAGTTCAATTTGGAGAGCATTCACTGGCTGCTCTCTGCCTGTTAGGAGCCATGACCTTGCCCCTTGCACCCAACATTCCTATAGCAAAATGCCACTGACTTTATCCCACTACAACCCATACTGGCACCCAAAAGCTGCTTTCCCTTTTGAACAAAGCCAGGTCTGCTTGCAGACATCCTCTCTTTCTCCATAAACCAGCGGTGGCCCATGAAGGGTGAGGCAAGGAGTCATCCTCTCTTTCCACTCATGCCACTGATTCCCCACTTCATCACCATTGCTGGCATCCCCAGCTTTGCCATTTGCATGAACAGGGTGCCACCCGACCAGGGTGTGCTGGGCTGGGATATGCACACAGAACTGGTTGCATTGAACACAGCCCCTGAGCTAAAGAAACAACTCTGTCCCATCGTGAACCAGGCAAATCTCCTTTTCCCTCTGAATCCACCCACACCAGCTCAGCCTCGCTGCAGGCTGCATGATGCAGCGAGGCAAAGCTGCCATGTTAGTAACTGAGCTCTCTTCAACCCAGGACAGGCCACCACCAACATAGCACTACTGAGATGGCAGCACCAGCTTGCTCACTCCTGGGACTCATTATGGGATGTTATGGTAGATCAGGGGTCCACACCAAGCTGGTGCTGGAGGGAGAGACACAGATGGGTGTGAAAGGACGGAACCATGTATGCAGGACTCCCAAACACCTCGTGGAGTCCCACCAAAGCAAATGCTGCTGAGACAGGAAGCCTCCCTCCTGCAGGCAATTGCACCAAAAGATCCAATGCCCCTTGCTGAGGCCCAGGGAAGGGCAGCACTCCTGTGTCCCTCTCCTGCAGTGGCAGATGTCTCTGTGCCACTCATCTGGCTGCAAACACTTGCTGGTCCCTTGCAAAGGCCTGACATGTGCCCCAGCTCCAATTTCACAGGTGTTGGGGGACATGGCTTATGCTGGCAGAAGGAAGAAGGGGTTAAGAGTGAGCAGAGAGGATGTGCAGTGCAGAAGAGGAGTTGGTTCTGCCTCTGACATTAAGGCGTCTCTTTGTATGTGGATCTTCACCCAGCAAATCAAGCACTGCAGCCCAGGATCTCTCCTGCCTCTCCTTCCACCTGATAGTCCATAGTCCCCTGTTTGCTTCAGGAGCAGTCAGCTCTCAAGGGAGACAAGGCAGTTTGCAACAGATTTGAATCCAAATGTGTGGCTCCCAGATCTGCTGGGCATTGGAGCAGACACGAGGGCTTCAGGGCTAAGATATTTGTGGGTTTAGACCTCCAGAGAACACCACATCTTGAAGATTCAGGGCTCAGACCTTCAGTGGTCACCAGACAGCAAGGAAGGGTTGGGGGAAGATGACCTTGGTATGGCTAAGGAAAAATGCTTTCCCATCATGCAAAAAAAAAGTGGGTCTTTCCTTGCAGCAAGATCCATGCAATTTCAGATGTCCAGAAGGGCCCGAAGACTATGAGATATACCCTGCTGCATCCCCTCCACCAGTGGGACACCAGAGAAATGAGCAATGCAGCCAATAGCAGGACTTTGCCCCCGTTCCACCCCTATCCCTGCTGTTTCCCACCCCCTTGCACTCCTGCCTCCTTCTCCTTTCATCAAGTCCCAGTAATCCTTTGTAACTCATGCCCTCCCCTAACCACCACCACCTGCTCCTTGGAGGGGCTGGGCTTCTGCAGAGCTCACTGCCACTGCATAAGTCTCAGTGTCATCATAGCCAGAAAGAAATTACCTCATACCACATTTAGTGTGCATTTCCCAGAGCAAGCATCTTGACATCAGCAAATCACAGAAACTTTGTGGCCTGCACCGATAAAACCCAAACATTTTACAACAGACAGAACTCTAGTTACAGTGGTGGCGGCCCTGAGCAACATTGCCTTGGCCCTCCTTGTTATTCCCCAGTCAGTTCATTATTATTAATGTCACTACAATAAATACCAGAATGAAATTGACAGCATTTGGCCACGTATCTTAAAGCATTGCCCCACTCCTCCTTTATTCCATGTATTTTGCAGCCTTGGTTTCTGTTCCTATCAGTCGTCAGAAGAGCCTTTAGGGACAAACCGTTTGACGATGTGCCAAGCCAGGTAATAAAAGCCATGCAGAACCGCGGCTGTGGCGTCAATGACCAGCGAGAAGGTGCCCATGATCCCAGTGGCCATGTCTTTAAGGACAGAGGGTATGGCACAGATGGAGTGGTAAGGGAAAGCAGCAAGGTGAAGGACGAACCCCACAGGGATGCTCAGGATCCTGTAGGTGAGGGACATCACATCTTGAACAATTTGCAGGAAGCCCAGGAAGATGTTGACGATGACCCTCCCAACATCATAGGGGATGCTGATGAGCACCATGCTGACGGCTTTAAGGTAGGACACCACCCCATTCCACAGGCTGCAGACTCCACCCAGAATTGTGCCAACAACTCGCTTTACAACAAGCCAGAGAAAATAAAACACAAATTTCACCAGTTCCACAAAGATGTAGATGAGGAGTTCCAGGAGTTTGATGAAAGGGGTAGCAATGATGCCAGCCACTCTTCTCACCCAGCCACTCTCTTTGGTCTCCTCATTGTTATTTGTTCCTACTTGCTCTCCAGAGCGGATCTGACTGACAGCTTGCAATACTGCTTCTCTTTTCTTCTGGCTTTGTTTGTCTTTCCCACAGTTGCCCTTGAACAAGTGAACTCCGGGTAGAAGCTGTTTCTCCAGCTCTCTCACCGTGAGGTCTGCCAAGCTGTTTTCATCATCGGTTTTTTTCACTAGTCCCAGGGACCATCCCTCTGAAGCATCACAGCAGGCTGCCAGCCAGAGGCTCTCTGGCACTGACACCTTGCCTTTAACTTGGACACTGGAAGGAATTGCACCTGCAAGGAGATATAGGTGATCCATCTTGGGACAGTGAGGGATCAGAGCTTGCTCCACTACCTTCCCAATGTCTCTGTGCCAGCTTTTGCTCAGAGTCGGGCTCAGAGGGACAGCATTCGTGAGTGTGTAAGTGGCCACCTGGAAATCCTCCTCATTAAGCAAACTGGGATTGAGAAGGCCTCTCTCATAGCCAGAGCCCACATAGTCTGAGGTCAGGGCTTGATTTGCACCAAGGTTGGCCACAGTGCCACCAATATCAGCTTCATGCACCATTTCATGCAAGTCATTTTCTGGATCATCTATCTGAAAGAGTAGAGAGAAGTGTTACTGCATGCAATTCACCTTCCTAGAAAACAATGTGTAAAATGAGCCCTGGCATATGCTTTTCGTTAGCACTACTAGTACATGCCATGCCTTCGATTATATCCTGCATCCTCTCATTACTTTCCTTGAAGTGCTTCAGAGGAGTGTACTCTCTACTTAGCTTCTCTGCCAAACACATTGGTTTAGGCTCCAAAGGATATTTGCAGCTCTCCAGTCTGGTACACAGCACAGCACAGACTTCAAAGTCTTACCAGGCACTATGTACCAAGACTCTGACTTGTAATTTGTCCTAGAAGAGATTTTTAAGACCAATAGATGGCTAGATTTAGGGTCATGTTTTTACCTCCTACTGTGGTGGTAACTGCCGTTCATCTAAGAACTTAACCATGGTTTAACTTAAGCCCCTCTGAACTATCAAATCCAAGTCATGGGGAAAGAAAAAAAAAAAAACAAAAACAAACAAGCCATGGTGTATAAGATGTCTAGAGAAGGCATTTGACCTCTCACTGCCTACTGTGTAAGAAGCAAGAATGAAGTCAGACATGTCAGATGACCTGAACCACCCCACCTTGAACAGGAGACACAGCTGTGAGCCCTAGGGCTGTTGCAGGGCTGGTCATCAGTAACCTGATCCTCATGTCATTAACAGTCTGAACCTCATCCTTAATGACCACCTGGTGTAACATGGCTGAGGGTGCCATCACCAAAGGTCCCCGATGGAATCTGTGCTACCTGCTTGTGTCTGCGGCTCCCATGCAGCAGAGCCAGAGGTAGCAATTACCGCAGCAGGAATTTCTCCTGGAGCCAAGCGTGAGGGAAGGGGGCAAGCAGGGGAGGCAAAGAGCAGTGGGAGGAGAAGCACTAAATGTTAGGGTGTGTTCAGGTCTTTCTCAGGTGACCACAGCTCTGTCTGATCCATAGTCATTCCTATTGACACAGCCTGCAGCTGCTCCAGAGGGCTGTACCCAATTGTCACTTTGTTCCTCAAATTAGAGGGTGAACATGTTGCTAGAAGTTCAGGGGTGGCAGATGATCTCTGGCAGTCACCGCCTTCTGTAGTCTGTGTTTCAGAGGGTGTGGCCCTCAGGTCCCCACACTGTGCTGGCCCAGTTAAACCCTCTGCCTTTGCCCCTGGCCCATAAATTGTTTACTGCACTATATAATATGCACTTTGGAGAGGTCTGTGACAGACAGTTCATAGTCTACCTTGAATCATTGCCAGGTCATCCATCCTTGTCTCTTGACCACTCTGCAGCGCACTTGGACAGATACCCAACTGTGTCCTTGCAACCTTACACAGAGTTTGCATCCTCTTAGTGGCACATCACCTCCTCACAGTTCTGCACAAGCCTGTGCTGAGAGTCAGGGTGAAAGGGCCAGCGTCAGCAATTGTCCCTCACCTGGGAGCTGAGCTCTGGCTGGCTTCCTGCATCAGCCAAACCCCTGCAGTCAAGGCGCAGGGCTCCCTCTGCACCAGGCTTGGTCACAGTGCCAAGCCTGGCCATTGCAGAGGGCTGCATTACCCCACCTCCTGATAAAGAGGTTTATTGCTCTTTTTTTTTTTAAGCATCTTGTGCTTATTGCTTCAGGACTGGGAGGATCATAGTCAGTCCCATGTGCTGATGCACAAGTCACAGTTTTTTCTAAATGCACTGCTTAAAAAGATTTGTTCTGCACTTTTACTGCCGTATTCTGCTCCTCTTGCTCAGTCACCCCAAACAACAGGCTGATGAGGCCAGACATTTTGCATTCCACAACATCACTCTCTCTTCCTGCCCCCCATCCCTTGCCATTCTCCCCTTCTGATGAGATGATGGTGTGCCATGGGACAAGGAATACACCCAGTGTGTTTAATAGCACGGAAGAGGTGAGGGGAATTGGGCATAGATGTGAGGCTGTGCCCAGGAACTGTCCTCAGTGCTATGACCCTTTGGAGTGTTACATCCTCTCAGAGACACACATCCCATCTCACTCCCATGGTGAGTGCTGCCAATGTACAAGGACACATAGAACTAAGATGGATCAGCTCTGCCTCCTGGCAGAAATTGCCAACCTACACTAAGCAGAACAAACTTAATTTCTCTCTCCCTATGAGCTGCTGCATGCAAGCCTTGAGGATCCTATCAAGAAAATATGTCCCTGGTTACCTGTCCAGTTGCAGGCCTTTGCACATACCATCAAGATTGTTTGGGCACAATTAAAAAAGAATATGATAAAAATGCAGCTGTGTGCTGCTCATGTGTCAGGCTCTGACATCACCTAATTATGCTTATAATAATTCCTATTATGGTTTGTAATAACTAATGTGTGCCTGAGGTTTTCATGCCTCCTCCAGCTCAGTCCCAAAGGCAGGCTGTCTCAGCACTCCATCTAATCTGCATTGCAAGATACGTTTCCTCCTTGCTTCAAAAAGCTTCTGGCTTGTGTCACTCCAAAATATACCAGTGTTCATGGAGTCAGCCATGAAGCCACCTGTCCAAAAACCCTGGAACAGCTCAGGGCAAAATCCAAGCAGACAGGTAAACTCCCTATCATAGAATGGAGGTTTAAAAATAACTTATGTGCCTGCAGCCTATATGGATGTTAGCACATAACAATATTGAAATGTGTCACTAAGTGGAGGGTGCAGTTTGACAGGAGGGACAGAGGCAGAGGGGGATTAGATGTATGGCAACACACAGTTATCAGGGCAGGCAGCTTCCACTGAGTTTGGTCATTTAACACGGCAGGACACTGCCACCCCCCACCTTCCCCACCCTGGTATGTAGGACCCCTGAACTTCAGCTTCCCTTTCCCACTTCTACTTCCTCAGGCCCCCCTTACACCTTTGAAGTGGAAATGTTTGATCCAACCTCAGCTGGGATTCATACCTCAGGGAAGAGGCACACTGCATCTTACGCTGAAGTTTCTGCAGCAGGACATTCACGAGTGGCTCTAGAAGTGCCTGTTCTCTTCACTCTCTACCAAGAGAGACTGCAAGAGCAGCTCAGAGGCAGCTGCACTATAGCTGGGCAAGAATCCCAGCTTGATTGTCTGCCTGGGGTAGCCATTAACCAAATGAAAACACAAGGTAATTCATCCAGCCCCTCATACATTAGGACGGAAAAAGCAACTCTGGAGTTTTCCATTTCTCTCTAAGCTACAGAAAGAATCAAACAGAGATTTTCAGACAACCAAAATGGAATGAGGTAAAAGACACCTGAGTGACTTGCTCACAACCCCTAGGAAATCTGTGGCAGAGCAGGTTTTCAGACCTGCGCCTGGGGGAGTCCCATCAGTACCCTGCTCATCAGCCTACTCTTCCTGCTCTCTAATTTTTCACTAATTGCTGAATTAATTCATTGTTTCCAGCTGCCAATCTGCAGTGGGTGGCACTGACATTCCTCACACTTCTCACCCAATTACTGCCTCCATGCTACATTGGCATTTGTTTCTCTGGCAGACATTCCTGAGGAGGGAGTGAGATGATGCCCTCACCACTTACATCATTATCCCCCCAAAAAAGCATATTACCACTTCGAGGCCCTCACTGGAGTGCTGAGAGTGTTTTTATAGTGATTTCTTTCTGTTTGCTGTGTCTGTATCTCCATGTGCAAGCACATGGCCCTGTGCAGTTCAGCCAGCTCCTACCCAGCTATCCCTGTCTTGGCAAGGAAATTACCCAGAAAATCGGTGATGTGAGCTCACTGGGCTGTGCTGCAGAGCAGGTGTTGCTAAGGGCTCCCTTCAGCAGCCATCTAGCTAGCCTAGGTAGAAAATACATAATGGGTGTGTAAGCTCTTCCCCACTCTCTCCTCCAAGTGGCAGTGTCTGAGAGGACTGTATGCACTTTTCTGTCTCAGTCAGGGGTTCCTCCAGGGAACTGCAGAGTTGAAAGAGACCCATTAGTGTCAACTAAGAACTATTGTCAGCCTGTGAGGCTGCTCTGGAGAAGCCAGATCAAATAAAGGTAGCACCTGCCCTATTATTTCTGAGGCTGCAGAAGGTTTTGGTGGCAGGACACACAAGGTTTGGGACTCTGGAGTGCTGGCAGGAGCCAAGACAAGATAAGGGGTCAAAAGGGATGGAGCAGGAAGGGCAGAGAAGCCAGTCAAGGGAGGTCCAGGGGAACTGAAGTTACTGGGTGGTTGGAGGAAGCTGGCCACTGCTCCATGGCAGGAACAGCTCCTGAGCCTGCCTAGGTAGGTTGGGAGAGCTGGACCACAAGAAGCAGGAGGCAATATGGGGGCTAGAGGTGATGAAGGGTGTCACTGGCCAAGGCAAATGGGAAAGGATCTCCTCTCTGCCCCTTTACCTTGCTGCCTCCATGGCACTGACCAAAGATTCTTGCCAGCCTAGGCCCCACTTGTGCTTTAAAAATTTGCTACCCTTCCACAACTCAATAATGACAGATTCTGCAAAAAAGTTTCCTCTGTTTTAAAAGGGTAAGCTCCCACAAACTTGCCTGTGAAGTGGAAGGAGGTCAGATCAGAAGGCTCTTAGAAACTCCTGCAACTCAAAACCCAGCCTAGAGAGCCACAAGACAGCCCAGGCTAAGATAACCATTTAATATCTCCCGTCTTCAATGCCTGTGGCCTTGTGGCCTTAGTATCTCATCACCACACATGAGAAAAATAAGCACAGCATTCTCCTGGCAAAGGGGTGAGCTTTGACTGTGGCAACATCCAGTAGCTGAGGGCCACACTCCCAACACACTGCTCTGACACTGCAGCCATTCCTGCCCTAACAAAGCACCCCTGCACACTGATAATCCCTCCTGACCTCCACAGATGGGGTAGCCTGGTGTTGCTACAATATTCATCATTATCACTGCTGAAAAATCTAAAACATGGGGGGGGGGGGGAGGGGGGGGGGGGGGGGGGGGGGGGGGGAGAGAGAAAAAGAAGAGCTGAAGTTTTCTTATGGCACAAAGAGTTTTAAAAAATTTCCATTAATTGAACAGCCTCAAGGCCTTGCTTAAACATGCCAAGTGACAGGGGAGACAAAAACCACTGAGGCTCTGGCAAAAAGAGTTTTATACTGCATACTTCTGACCTGACCGAAACCTGCACACCCCACAACACAGCAACTCATTTTCCTACCTCAGTCTGCAACACTGGACCACACTGAAAAGCTGCAGCATCAACTTGGTGAACCACAAATGGATGCTTTATCTCTGCTCAGTGAGGCTAAAGAACCCCTATCAACACTGCGATCCCACTGGCAACAGAACAAACTTGAACTTGACACTGCGATGTTTAACCCACCAGCAGCGCTCCCTGCCCACAAGAGCTGGCTGGGCAGGACAAACACATCACTGCTGTCAGACAGGGCTTTCCTCTCCCCCGGCACTGCACTTTCATGCAGCAGCCTCTCGGTTTTCATTATAAGCTCCCTTGGACAAGAAACTATTTGTTTGCTCAGTTCCAAGCACAAAAATAAGGTCTGCTCTTGCTAAATTCATACCAACAGAAGTTCAACAAGCAGAGTTCCTGCCTCCTCTGCAATATTCTAGCCCCAGCTTCACCCCAGATGAAATGTTCTCCAGGAAGAGTTGCTTTTCAGCAAAGGAAAAGCTGCCTTACCTGCGGTTCAACCAGCCAGTTCTCCTCCTCACTTTGAGCTGGCTTTGTAAACTTAAAAGCTGAATAAAGAGGGATTTTGTCCTTAGTACTGTAGAGGGTTGCAAAGCGTGGTTCTTTGTTGTACTGCTGACAGATTTTCACATGGAACGGCTCCGTAAATCCTTCGGGTGGGACTTGTCCAGAGAAGAACACGTTACACTCGGCAAAACCAGTTTCATCCTCTCTAACAACTCTGCCCTGGGAAAAGCCTGGGAAAACCGAGATGCAAAGCAAGAATACAATTGACGTCTTCATGGTCCACTCCCTGGAGCCGAGGGAAGCCCCGTCTGCCTCCGCTGGGTACGGCAAAGGACCTGCGCTCAGAGTCCATGCAGCGGCGAAGCCAGAAAGCGTCTGGAATTCGGGTGTAGCGTGCGAGGGAAATGAAATCTGAAACCACGGCCGATCCCTCCGGGGAGCCGGCGCGTTCTGCAGGCGGCACGTTGGGAAACAGAAAGTGCGCGAGGCTGCTGTGACACACGCTGCGGCCAACAACTGCCCGCGGGAGAGGATGCCAGGCGACCGGGAATCATCGGGCTCCTGGCGAAGGGGAGGAGGGACGCCTATGGCAGCGGCAGGGCTGGAGCTGAGCGGCACCGGCTGTCCGGGCTGGGGCTCAGCGCCCGCGGGGGTGTGGTGTGCTGCATTGCAGCAGTCCCCGGCAGGAATTTTGGCTGACACAGCCAGAAATGTTCCTGAGGCTGTCAGAGGGGATGCTGCAAAGTCAGATTCCACCGCCCCAAAGAAGGTATTAGCTGTCGTCTCCAACTGTGAGCCTGGCCAAAGGAGAGGGAGAGAAAGAAGAGAGGTGGCAACGTTGGAGCTGCTGGGAGCCCCCTTTGTCCCTTTTTGGGGTGTCTGTCATCACTATTGCTGCCAGCCACTTGCTGCTTTAGATGCTTGGGAAAGGCATTCACCTCCCATCTCTCCTGGTGCTGTATGGGGAATTGAAAACCCTCCAGTATCACCTCATTTTGGGAGACCCTCTCTCAGAAGAGATTAACAACAGGCAGAAGGTTGAGGACCCTCAGATCATGTACCCCTAATCAGCATCCACCACAGAACATTTTGGCCAAACTATGGAACTGGCAAAAAAAAAAAAAAAAAAAAGGGAAATGAAGATGCTCCTCTGTGTTTATGTTCAGCAGAGTAACCATCTACCCAACAGCTGCCTATGATACCTTGGCTACTGCTGCGTAAAAGCAGTATTCCTTCACTGACTGTGAAAATTAATGTTTTGAAAATAGTGGAGATGGAAAGAGCAGTACCTTGGAGTCAAGAAAAGGTAGCATTTTCCAACCCAAGAAGTGAGATGTGATCAGCTGTGTTGCCAACAATTTTAAAAAATCCTGGATGCCAATAGGGCACAAGTCCCTTTTATAACACAATTTCCAAGCAAAAAACCTCCCAAGTGCTACCATCCCACAAGTACTTTGCAGACAAGGTAGGATTATGTCCCTACTGAATATTATGAAGTGGAAGGGTGAGTGGTTAAAGGTGGTGAGCCTGTCCAAGGGCAGAGAAGGAGTCTGCGAAAGACTAAAAATAGACTGCACTGTATGACTATCATTCCTCTACTCATGGATGACTTCTGGAAGTATCAAGACAAGGAAATACGTCGACACCTCTCAGTGTGGTGATATCAGCTAGGGGAGACAGAGGCAGGCTGGACAGGCTGGGGAACAACAGGAAATGTAGTAAGTGGGCTTGGGTTTGGTCCAGGCAGATGACTGGTCACCCAGCCCTGCCAGAAAGAGTTAGTCATGTTCAGGAAAGGTGATGGAAAGGAAAGCACAGACATAAAATTTCATTTTCCTGGATGTAAAAAGGCTCCTGGAAAATCAAGAACTGAAGCTGAACCTTTGCTGTTAGGTGCTTTTATGATCCCTGACTTGAAATTACCTGGGCAGAAGAAGAAAATATTTCCATAAGCATGGTAAGTCCTACTACCAGGCAAAGCTAGGTCAGACAATTAATTTAAACACCCCACTTCAAGGCTGACATGCCAATCCAATGAAAAGGCAGCATGCGGTGCCTCAAGATGTGCATGACAGCAGGCACTAGCACACTGAACAGATCAATAATTTCCACTAGGAAACTGGTGGAAATCCTGCCTCTGTTCTAGACCTGTGAATCAACCTCTTGCCTCAAAGCGGTAACTTTGTCTCATCAGATGTACAGCCCCAAGTTGTCTTCTAAGCCTCAAGGGCTTTTATGGGTTTTTGGGAAACTCTGAGGAGTTCTTTCCTTTCATGGTGTGAGGTTGGGGTCTGTCTGCCAATTCAGCTCTGCATTTACCAGCAAACATAAACCTGACTCATCCTGAAGAGCAGGACCATCAGGTTCTCACCTCTCATGAGAAGCATCAGTTGAAAGCCAGCATGGAGTTCCACTCCTCTGCTCCCAGTTCAATTTTCTGTCCAAACGAGGTGCATGTCCAGTTTCTATCTAATTTAAGATAGCTGTTGTGACCCTTGAACACAGAGATGAGTATTTTTTTCTCTTGCTAACATCACTATTACTAAAGGGACTCATGCCATCATCATGCTGTGTCACTTACCGTGCTGAAAAGATAAAGACAAAAGGACTGCCCTGCCCTAGGAAGGTTACATTCTCAGCCAAGGGACCACAGACAGAGGGCTCAAACACAGAGAAGTGGAGTTGGCCAGAGGTTTTGATGGCTCAGAGCTGCAGTAGTTTATCTGCTATCAGACGCTTTTATAGGCATCATAGGGAGTGATGCCTATAGGCTGAGATAGCGAGCGATGGATGCCTATAGGAGCTGATGCCAAAAGGACTATTAAGATCAGATTCAAAACAGCCCTAAGGCTGTTGATGTGAGCAGAAGAGCTTTGGCAAAATACTCATTGGGTTAGCAATGGGCAGTGTGAGCTGGTGGTGTCAGCATCAACTGTGGCAGCAGGGTGGCCCTGGGACCTGGGACTGCCTTCTGCAAACCCATCAAGGGCGACAGTGCAATGAGCTGAGCAGTGTCAACAGTGCAGGCAAGAACCTGATGATTCATGTGATGGAGCAGAGGGAACCCAGGGAGGATGTGGAGTGATGTGGCCAAAGGGACACATAAGTGATCATAGAATCACAGAATATCCCAAGTTGGAAGGGACACACAAGGATCATCAAGCTCAGCTCCTGGCCCTGCACAGCACATCCCAGGAGTCACACCATGTGCCTGAGAGCATTGTCCAAACACCTACTGAACTCTGTCAGGCTGGTGCTGTGACCACTGCCCTGGGGAGCCTGTTCAGTGCCCAAGCACCCTCTGGGTGAAGAACCTTTTCCTGAATATATCCAACCCAAACCTCCCCTGACACAACTTCCAGCCATTCCCTCAGGTCCTGTCACTGGTCACCACAGAGAAGAGATCAGTGCCTGCCCCTTCTCTTGCCCTCATGAGGAAACTGATCACTCAGTGGCAGGCAGAGGCTGTGGGAGACAAGAAAGGCTGTAGACAACAAACTGTATTGACAAAGAGTTTGCAAGGCATGACAAAGAGTGTTGGGGAAAATTAGGAGATGTTGGAGAGAAGGAAGGGAAGAAAAGAGGTAAGGATCCAGAAAATGGTACTGACCAGCAGGAAAAGGAAGATATTGGGCAAAAATGAGAGTGGAGGAGGATCTGCATTCCTGAAAATCTAGGGTGCTAAGAAAAGGTAAAGATGGAAAACAAATGGAAATATGTGTGAGGAAACCCAGGAGGCAGGTTGTGACAGGTCAAGTGAGATGATAAGAGAAATCTGAGGAAAATCTCTTGTGATAAGAAAATGAGGAGAAAATATGAGGAGGAATAGGGGGAAAGGAAAATGAAAGGTTTACATCCATCTTCATTGACCTGACATAGATCAGCAGTCTTCCTGTTCTCCAAGGGTCAAGAGCAGGACCAAGAACAAGCATCAAGAACAATATCTCAAAAGGAAGAATACCTCCCTGCAAAACAAATCTGAAAATCATGTCAGCATCCAAACTCTCTAGCCATTAAGAAGCTGTTGGGCTTGTCTGTCTGCTTTCTCACACTGCTTCTTCAGCCCTGTCTCTGTTCACACGACTGACACTGGATTTGCTACAAATAGAAAATCTATCCCTTCACATGCTTGACCCTCTACCCTAGCCTTTCAAAACATTCTTGACTCCAAATATTTTTCCAGGCTGGATCTCCAGTCTCCCTATCATGGCCTCTGTGAGACTCAAGTGTTGTATGTGACTGTCTGTTTCTCCTGAGAAGAAAAGGAAGACAGTGTCTCCAAGGGCAAGCAGTCTCATGACAGAGACACCATTTGTTTCAGTAGGCATACCAAGCTTGGACTTGGAGCACAACTGTGCCAGCAGACATGCTATGGCATGTCAGAGAGCACATCTGCCTCCTCACTGTCTCATGGGGAAACAGTCTTTTTAAAATCAGTTTAGAAACTTGCTCTGGGAAGGGAGCCCAGTGCTGAGCTACAGGGAAAAGCAAGAGTGAAACAATTTTCCTATTGTGACTAAGAGATTCAAGGGCAAGGGGAGGGGGTGGGCAGAAGGACAACAAACTCTAGGGAAGAGCTTGAAAACACATTTTTGGGATTTTGATTCCCACCTAAAATGAGGTTTTAATGCCAATCTCTGCTGCTTTTTGTCTTGACACCTTCCCCATGGTGTCCCTGGTGCTGGTGAGGAATGGCCTTGCACTGGCAGTGCTGCTTTGTTGCTCAACTCTACCATGATGCTCAAGAGCAAGGATGGCCTGTGAGAGACCACGAACTGCCTCAGACTGCCAGGGATGCTGATCTGGCTCCTCTGCTTCTTTATTTGCATTTTCTCCTGTCCAGGCTCAGGGTTCACTCACATCAGACAGTGGATGCCCTGAAGTGGTGTCGCAGTTGAATTCAGAAGAGAAAAAGAGCAAAACAAAACATTATAGAGGAGGTTGTCCATGGTGTACCATCAGAGGAAAAGAGTGGCAACTGGGAAGAATGAAGCATGCACACTGCTCTATGAATCATGACACCATTAGGACAGAGACATATTCTCATTTTGTACAAAAACTTGCACAGTGGAAGTCTGACAGGCACCTTGTAAAGTGTAAATGAACCATGCACCATGAAGTATAAATGCATTGCATAAATATTGAATAAAATTAATAAAATCCAAAGGCTGCTTCCTTTGGCATTTTATCACAGTCTTCATACACAAGAGATCTCTGTTAATCTTCAGACTGTTCAGAAGAAGGACAATGACAATCCCATGCTAGACAGCAAAAGCAGAATGGATGTAGATTAGCAGTATAAGGCAATGTTTTTAATGGTGCAAATGATTATCTGTCAAAATGAGCTATTTAGAGATGTGCTGAAAGCTCCAATACCTCCATTCTTTAAATTAGGAGGTGCTTTTTAACATGATAACAGCTTAAAAAAAAAAAAAAAAAACTCCCCTAGAGTTGATGTTTTAACTGTAATGACCTTTGTTTTACAGATTGTCAATTAGTCAGAGCCACAACAGTTCTTACACACTTTAAATCTGTTTTGGACAGGGAAGTTATCCGCTTACATGCTTTTCTTCTAGGTATTAATATTGATTTTTTACTATTTGTTTTATTTTATATTTTCAAAAGCGCGGTGTGATTCAGTCAATGCTGAGAGCTTGCTGTGCTCATGCTGCCCAAAACAAGGCATGAGACA